CTATTTACAACCTCCCTGGGATGGCCAAAGCTGCAGACAACTTGAGCTTCATTTTTCATGCAACCTGCTCCATCTCTTAATTGTAAGCACACCCTTGACTGCTCCTTCTCTCAGCAAGCCTCTAGCATGGCCTCAATCTGTCCACTCTTCTCACTGTTATTCCCATAACCTGACTACAAACCAAAATTTTTTCCTCTGGACACAAGCTGCCATCCCCCTCCTCCCCTGTCTACCTTGTACAATTTGCTCTACACAAGGAAGCTTAAACTATCTCATTTTGTTTTTGTTTTTTTGAGACTAGGCCTTGCTATATACAGTTTTGGCTGGCTTTAAACTCATGGTAATCCTCCTCCTGGCTCAGCCTCCTGTGTGCTGGGAGTACAGCAGCACACCACCACACCACCTAGCTCTAAAGCATCTTTTTTTGGTACTAGGAACTGAACTCAGGGACTCTTGCTTGCCAGAAAGGTGCTGAGCTACATCCCCAGCCCTAACTCACCTTTTAAAAGCAAACTTAGTTACTTCTTTTCTACTTTAAGGCCTCCACTAACCGCCCTCTGTGAGGAAAGCACTCCACTCCTTACCCTCTAACACAAAGCCCCAGAGGCCCCTCTCTGCTCTCTGAACTTGCCACGCTTGCCCCCAGCCTGGGGCCTTCACATTTACTTACCTCACTGCCTCAACTGTTCTGCACAGCAATTTTTCCATGTGTGGCTCCATCCTGCTTTTCTGTTGCAGTGTATAAGCCGCCACATCACCACAGTATCCCAAATACCTTCCATCAGTCTGTTTTATTCTTAATATTTCTCAATTCATGCCATTCCTTATCTGTATTTCCCTCAGACTATAAACCCCTGAGAGCAAGGACTGTTTACATTCCCCACTGGGGCTGGTCACGCACCAGCACTCAGTGACTGTGTGCTGAGCGCGTGTGTGCAGCCCCAGGCCACTGTCTGGACCTCAGAAGCCAGGTGCAGTACCTGGTAGTCTTCATCTTCATCCTCGCTCTCCTCAGAGTCTAGAGATTTCTTCTCCTTTTTGGGGTCACCTGCAGCCCCATCTCCACCTTCTTCTTGTTCCTCTTCTTCCTGTTTCAGAAATGGACAACCTGCAGAATCAAAAATGCAAAACAAACCCCCAAGACTGTGATCCCCCTAGCACCATCCTCACACTGTAGACCTTGACACTAAGCCTCTGGAAAACTGGGACCAACTATGCCAAGGGTCTAACTCCACATACAAACATGGCTCCCAGAATAGGAAACTTGGGCCTGTCCACGTAGCATCACAGCCCAGAGGCCAGACCCACAGTGCAATAAGCCCCTCCTCACTCTCCTGCATGGCCACCTGGTACAGCCTGACGAGATCACTTCTGGGGGTCAGAAGGACCCAGAAGTGAGGCTGAAAACCATGGTGCTGCTCGGTAGCCCTAGCGACTGGATCAGGCTCAAAATCATGCCGGCCCATCACCATCCTGCCCCTGTGCTGCCTCACCGCACAAGCTGCCCATGACCACATCTTGGCAAGCTACCTGACTCTACCTTTTCTTGCCTTCCACCAGAAATACCACTCTGACAAAAACCTGCCCTTCCCCTTTTAGCACAGCAGCAGGCATGTGGTAGAGGACAAGAATACAAATAATGGCTGAACAGAGTCCACAGGCCCAGAAGAGAGGGAACTAGGTCAGCTGGAAGTGGAAGGGAGGGTGGGTAGCACCAGCCGTCACCGAGGAAGCAACACTGAACAAAGCTAGAAACCATGACAAAGTCTCTGTAAGTGTGGGAAGGCAGGTCAGTATGTGGTGCTGAGTCTAGCAAGCAGCTCCGTGTGGCCCCAGCAGATAAGCTGGGGGTGCCAGGAATGGGGATGAGCTGAGAACAGACAAGAGGCAGGTGGAGGGACAGCTCCCATAAGGCAGGCACACAGGACCAGGAATGGAGACTCATTAAGGCAAATGAGGCCAAGTGGGCAAGGTTCTAAAGATCAGGTCACAGGATGGTGCCCCCAACTATGGCTGGTTGTTCCAGGAGTCACACCTGGTGTCTGCTGCCCTCCCTAATGCCACATGAGGTTTTGTCCTTGAGAATGGTAGTCCTGAGGCAGGGAGCACCTGGGCCACTGCAGTGGCTTGACAGGGATGTACTCACCCTGGCTTTCTGCTTTTCAGCCTGCAGCTGGGCATCTATCTCCTCAGGGCTCGTATATTGCCTTGCTCGGCCTTTGTGGCCTCCTTTTCTCCCTGTACAAGCAGTTTAGGAAGATGAGAGGAACAATTACATGGATAAGCCTGACTCCCAGAGCACTGTGTTCTGCCTGGATGCTCTTTTCAGAAGCTGCAGAAATCTTATCTACCTTTTACCAAGCACCACACAAGCCTATCCGTCCCCCTTCAATGTTCGTGCAAAAGGACACAAGCAACTCATGTCCACCTGATACACCACCAAAGTATGCTGGATGCAAGTTCCCATAAGCCAGACCCTAAGGGAGGACACAGGGTCTTATGTGTGGCAAGATGACCGACTAATTCCCCTCATTCTTTAGAGCCCAAACATGGCAGACTCAGATGTAAGTACAAAAATCACTTAACATTTATACTCTGTAGTCACTGGGCTTTTTATGTACGATATTCTGTTACAGTTATGAGCTCATTTAATCTCTTTAAAATAGTGTTTGATGGGAAAACAACAACAACAAATCCTCCACTAACCACATAAAGCAATTTATTGCAAATGTCAAAACAAAATACTTCATATTTGCCTTAGTGATACGATAGAGACTACTTAAAACAGGAAATATCCACCGTCTATTGGCAAAGACTTTGTGAGTGGAATGAAATTAGCAAGCAAAGTTTAAGTTGAAAATAAATCTTGCTATTAAGCCTAAAGTGTTAAAATCTGGCTGGCAATAAAAATTCACCTAACAGTACAAATTTTTATATTCTAACCTTCCTGAACACTAGACTGACCCTTATTAAAGCCATCAACAGTTTACAGCAGAGTGGCATCCCTCCCAACAGAGGACCTCTCCTGGAAGCTATGATCCACCTGACTTCCACAGGGATCCTTGCTGTCAACAGAGAATAGGTAATTAGACAGAGCTGCTCTGGACTCGAGACAGTAGTGGAGATACTGGTCTCCTCTAATTTCCTAGACAGCAGCTGCAGAGCCATAATTGGACTGCCACAGCCCACACCGCCCATTTTTAATGACTACCTGGGTTCCCAGGGGTATCTAAGTCTATGCTCATGAAAAAGACCATTGTGAGACACCAAGCTTGCCATTAAAAAAACCCACACCTTTTCTTACCTTCTTAATGTACCATTTCAGGGTAACAAATTTGATTACTACACGCTCTTAGCGCCTACACCAGGCTATAGTATATCTAACCTGCCCATAAGCTACAAGACCAAGTCATTTAGCTAAGAATTCATATAAATTTTCTCACCGTAACTTCTAACTTTAGAGCCAGAATTCTGTAACTGGAAAGGTTCATTCATCAGGCTAACTCTTTGCCTTTACAGTGAAGAACCTGGGAAATCCAAGAGGCCTGGGTCTTCCCAGCCACAGAATAAATCATCAGGGCAGAGGTTTTAAATGATTACATTTTATAAAACCTAGTATTTCTGAAGGTTGAGTTGGAAGTAATTTTGATCTGAAAGAGCTCCCAGCAGATGTGCCTTGTAAGCTTAGTGCATTAACCAGCATAACACATGATCCGCCAATATGAACTGAACATCTCATCTGTTCTGTGCCAGGAGCTAGCCAGGCACTTTCTGTGGTCTATCATTTTCTGATTCCTGTTCCTAACTTGCCAAGCTAAGGATTGTTACGCCAGTATTCCAAATAAAACAAAATAATGCTGTAGCTGGGATTCAAAAGAAAACCTATAGATTCTGGGGGGAAAAATGGATGGAAAGTGGGCTACAATGTACTGAGAAACCATGGATCTTCTCGATCAGGAGCTGGCAAAATCCTACGCAAACAGTAATAGGCTAGTGCTCACTGAGCACTGAACGACAGGCCAACACTGTGGAGCCTTCCATGTGTACTACCTACTTTAAGACTCACACCAGCACTATCCGGTAGACACAAATCACTGTCTCAATTGCAAAAGAGAAAACAGAGACACAAAGAAGTTAGGCGAATGGCTCAAAGGCATACACTGAGCTGCTACCGAGTAGGAGCCAAAGCCAGATCTGCCGGACTCCAGAGTATCTTACTGGGGTGGCCCGGCTGAGCAGGAGCTTGCAAGGGCCCACATTTTACGCGCGACGCAGGCAGGCCCACAGAGGCGCGGAACGCTGTGATTCAGTCCCTGGCCAGCCCAAAAGTGGGAGGAAACGCCAGACTGCTCCCAATAACCCCCCAGGCTTGGAAAAGCACGCCCCACGAGTCGCTTTTCGCACCGGGGAGGACTGAGCCCATGAATCTCCTCAGACCGTCAACAGCGCGGATCTAGACCACCACAGTGCTTAAGTTTGCCCACAGGGACAGCTGGGCGTCGAGGCCCTGGTCTGGCTCTCAGTCGGAGCGTAAGGTCTCCCTCCACGCAGTTCTCCTAGACGCTCTTGGGTTTAAGGCACAGCCGAAGGCGGCCCCGGGGCTCCCCTTCCAGGCTCGTGAGCACGCGCGCTGTTTCTCACCTTTAGGCATCGCGGCTTCAGCGGCTGCGGCGGCGGCGCCTCGAAATGACACAGGAACCGGAAATACTTTAAGCTCTACTTCTTCCGTCCGGCCCAGTCCGCTCAGCGCGCCGCCGCCGCCGCCGCCGCCATCGCGACGAAAAAGGGGACCTCAAAGAGGCCGGCGGACGAGGCCGGACTGTCCCGCCGGTCGCCTGAGTCTAGGTCTGCCCTCACGCTGCCTGGCAACAGCGCCACGTGTCTCCGTCGTGGAAGACACGTAGTCTTGTCCGCCTTCCCAAGACATGAGGGCGAAGGACCCCAGCTTCTCCGGAATTGTATACAGGCAATATTGGAGACACCTAAAGTGACGCACTCTTCGCGCGCAACGGGGCGGGGTTTCGAAGGGGGCCTCATTCCAAAGCGAGCTAGAAGGGGCGGAAGCGGTCTGTGGACAAGCGGTGGCTTCGGTGCTTAAGTTTCCGGTGAGTGTTTTTCTTCTGCTCTTGGGTACTGTAGATTGGCAACGGCCGAGGCAGGGCGTAGAGATCTGCGGAGGGCGATTTGACTACCTGTGCGGAGAGGAGTTAACGTCTTTTTGTTCTGCCGAGGTAGTGGTAGATTTGGGGAATATTCGATTCTTTTAGCGCTAGGCTTCTTCTCACACCATTTTCTCTCCCAGGATCGTTTTTTTTCCCCTACCTAGAGACTGTTTTTCTAGACAGACGTCAGATGACATCCTTTTTTAGTAGCCGTTCCTACAAGTCCTGGTTATAACATTGTCCTTTCTCCCTCGTCCCGGTCCTTGACTGCCCCACCTCTGTATACTGCCCAACACCTTTTTCTTCTTGAACCTTTATCTTCCGCAGAGGCGTCTCCAGCTCCCAAATTGAGCGAGGACTTTTAGGTTCCCTGGGTCAGAGCAAAGCGATTGTTTTGTCATTGGCTGAGCGCTCTGCGTCAGGAGCCAGAGTTCACCCGTCCTAGCTTCAACACAAGGGAAACCAGTATAGAGACCACTGATGTGCAATTCAGGAGATGCCAGTGTCTGTCTGCCATTTCCCAACTGTGCCACCCTGACCTCTACGCACCACTTAAGAGTTTGATTGCTTATCAAAAAAGTTGTCATGGAGAGTTTAATGTTATGGGTAGGGGGTTTTGTAGAGCATCGAATACCTCACAGTGGGGGATACTGAGTGAATATGGGAGAGATAGGTTTGCTGTGGTTAAAAGATCCTGAAGTTCTCTTTGCGAGCTGGGAAATACTATGTCGTTTGCGAATATTTTGCTGTTTAGATTTGAACTGGCCTTTTGTATAAGCGTTATCTGATTTTATGAGACATGTTCATTAAGTCTAAAAGGGACTTTGACAGCCAGACATGGCTTGTAATCCCAACACTCTGGAAGCCTGAGGCATGAGGATTTGGAAGTTCAAGTCCCAAAAGGGATAGGGATGTAGCTCAGTGCAAAAGCCCTGGGTTTAATCGCCAGTGCCACTAAATAAATAGGGGTTTGGTAATCAGCTAATCTACTGTCCTCATTTTACAGATGACACAGAGAACCGGAGAGGGAAAGTGATCTCTCCAAAGTCAGTGCATTTGTTAGAGTGAGACAAGTCAAAGCCTCACTGCAGAGACCAAAAATCGACTTCACTCTTGGAAAGAGATCCTAAGGTACTGTGGTTTTACAGCCATCTTTTCCATTTCAAACACTCAGACCCTTGGCTCCCTCAGGTGTAGTTCCCACCTCACGCTAGATTGTAATTGCTTTCTCACTTGTCTGTCTTCTTACCAAAATCTCACCTTCCAAAAGGCAGAGTCTATGCCTTCCTTTTTTTGTGTTCTCAATGTCTAGTACAGGGCCAGAAGTGAGTATGTACCAAAATAGTGGCTGGCAAAACCTTTTGGTAATGTGAGACTCAGAAATCAATTTATTTTTCCAGATCTCAGCAAATTATCCTTAAAGGAAAAAAAAAAAAATGCCTAAAGTAAAAAGAAGCCGGAAAGCTCCCCCAGATGGCTGGGAGTTGATTGAGCCAACACTGGATGAATTGGATCAAAAGATGAGAGAAGGTGAGTGAGATGCTTCTGCCTGGGTTGGCTGCATAGAGGCTCATAGCCTTAGGTTTCTCCAGCACTGGCACATACTCTGTGTAATAGGAGGTTTGGTTTCTAACACTGTACTGTTTCCTTGTTAACTTGGATGCTTAAACTACTGCAAAGCAAGACAACATTAATGAAAGGGGCCTTTAAGAAGTTTTTAGACCATCTTGAATATAAACATTTTAAGGAATATAGGGCAGAATAGTTGTCATTACTTTTCTCTTGTTGCTGAGACAAAATACACAGCATCCAAAGTTAAAGGGGAAAGAGTTTATTTAGCTCACGATTTGTAGAGGTTTCAGTCCATAATCCGATAGCTCCAAGGCAGAGTGGCACATGGCAGAGACATACCTTCAGCAATAATACTAAATCAGTTTTAAATCCCCCACCCCCATTTTAGAGCTGATTGTGCCACATAGTGTTTATTAAATAGCCAGAGCTTGCAACAGTCAGTATCATTGAGGACTGAGAGATTTCATCCCCAGCAGTTGCTGATGAAAATAAAGAAAATGGGAGTGTGCTAGCATAAAAGAGATTTTGAGTTCTAAAAATAAATTCTAAGGGGCTGGGGAGATGGCTCAGTGGAATAAGCACTTCCCCGGCAAGCGCAAGGGCCTGAGTTCTATCCCCAGTTCCGCAAAAATAAAAATAAAAATAAATAAATTCTACTCCCTCCATTAAGGACAATTTTTTTTTTCTTTTTCTTTTTTTTTCCCTTTGCAGTGCTGGGGCTTGAATATGGAGCAAGGAGTGACTTTTGAGAAGAGAGGAATCTTAACCTTTTATTTAGACATATGTAGTCTTTATCTCCAAAAACAGTTTTTCTTCATTTATATTTGATAGTTTAATCTTTCAGCATTTCTTTATCCTTCCATTGTTGATACACAGATAAGTAATATATATCATTTTATATTTAGTTAATGTTACTCCTTTTTTCCATTATAAAGTAAATAACAAGCCACATGGTAGTAGGCACCTGTAATCCCAGTGTTGTGAGAGGCAGAGGCAGAAGAATCACAAGTTCAAGGCAAGCCTGGGCTATGCAGCAAGCTCAAGGCCAACCTGCATTGTGTACTGAGACCCAGTTAAGAAAAAAAGGTGGGTGGGAGAGAATGAGAGTAGCAGCCCAAGAAAATGAGTGCCACCAGCCACCCGGCTTTTGTGTTGCAAATGCTGGGGACGTCTGGGACAAAGCAGATTGGAGAGAGGCAAAAGCTGGAACCTGTTTTACCACGTGAAAATACAGCACTGCTGGATATGCTGAGTTAAAAGAATGAAGAGTCAAGGAGGCTCCCTGACTTCTGGCCCTAGAAAGCAGGCAGCTTTGGGATAGGAGAATAAAGATTTCAGTTCTTTTTTTTAATATTTATTTATTTATTTATTTATTTAGTGTGTGTGTGTGTGTGTGTGTGTGTGTGTGGCCAGCTCAGCCCACCAGGGGGCAGGGCTGGCTGGCATGAGGTGCTGGGGGATTGAACCGCAGTCCCTGTGCTTTGCTTAGCTTAAGCTTGTTCTAAGTAGGTGCTTTAGACCACTGAGCCATCTCACCAGCCCAAGATTTCAGTTCTACACGGTTAAGTCTGAGATGTTTTAGATCTCCAGTGTCCAGCACAAAGTCTTCTGTCTTGCCTACTCATGTTCCTTGGGTATTAAGAGGAGAACCTTCCCTATCACAGGTGCATAAAGTTTATAGTCTTCAGTATCTTTTGCTTTGTTCACAGAATTTTGAACAAATTATAAATCCTAGTAATAGGCTTAAAAGCTGGAAGAAATGGAAGCATAGTTTCCTTGAACACTACTCGCCTTTCCCCTGAAAACTGAGAGCAGCTGGGTATGAGCACATATCTATAATCACAGCTACTGGAATGGCTGAAGCAGGAGGATCATGAGTTTGAGTCTAGCCTGGGCAACATAGCAAGAGCCATTTCAAACAAATTGAGAGACGGTTGTAGACAAAGATCAATTTTGATAGGTAAGAGGGAACTGCCTTACTACAGTGGGTGTGAGTACAGTAGGCCCCCGAAATTCACAAGCGTTGTTCCTAGAACACCTGTGAATTATAAAGTCACAAATTTCATATGCAATCAGAAAAATGCCTATTTTTACAATTTAAACCCTAAATATGGCATGTCTCCCACAGTTATAAAATATTAATAAAGTCTTAGGTGTAGGGCATTTTGGCAGCACCTTAGGGCTCTCAGAAGCACAGAACTGAGTACACTCAAGGTATCGACATGAGGTACAGCAACTTTTATGATTCAGAAATGCTGGTGTATGTGGCAAATGGGGTACAGGGCAGCAGCCTATCAGCAACAGACTTAGTAACACTCAGATTTGCTGCTTGCAAGCCACCTGCCAAAACAAATTGCAGAGGTTACTTGGGCTGTCTTCTAAATTCCAGGGAGGTTCTGAGAACAATTGTTAGGGTCTAAGGAAAAATCCACAAACCACTGAGGCCTCGAACTCAGAACCTCTACCTTGCAGGGGTAAACTGTATCACCTGATTTTATGCCCATTGAAGGAACAGTCATTTGAATCCCAGAAAACCTTCAGATTGCGCACTTGTTTTAGCTCTTTCTTCCTTGGTCCTAAAGGATTTTATCTGGAAAATGAAAGTAGAGGCCCTTTAAAGATTATTATGGGGCTAGGGAAATAGCTCGGTAGCATAAGCACATGCCTAGAAAGTGCAAGGACCCTGGTTTGATCCCCAGTACTGCATGCTGTACCAGCCCCAAAACCCTGGGTATGCTGTGCACGCCTGTAATCCCAATGCTGGGGAGGCTGAGACAGGAGGATCATTACAAGTGTAGTGAGACCTTGTATCTAAGTAATTATTTAATTTTAAAAAATGTTAAAGATCATGATTAAATTGCATATCTTTAAGCCTAAAACTGTCTTGAAAAATTATAGACTGTAGAAATAGGTCTAGGGAAATAAGACCAGGATGTTAACAGATTATTGTTAAATGATCTTTTAAAATGTTTTCTAATTTATCTAATCTGAAAGGCATTTTAAATTTAAAATAATGATGTTTGGATCACTTCTGATAACTGCTTGGGAGCTAATCACATGCTAAGACATACACCGTTTTAAAGCACACAACTATGAGGTTCTTGGTGTATGCAGAGTTGTGCAAACATTACCAGTTTTACATTTCAAACTTCTTCATCCATGTTAAAGTGTGTACCACATTGTGTGTCTTATCCTAGTGACTGAATCTAGGCCTTTACAGTAAGATGCATCCCCCAGCCCTTTTTTAACCACTTAGTACTTTAGCCTAAGCAGCAGTGCATTTGTTTATGTAATATCCTGAACTTCATGCACAGGAATCATTTCAACCTGATAATTTTTCTTTTTCTTTTTTCAAAGTTTTATTGATAAACAGATACCAATGAGACAGTTTCAAATCAAATCGGAAGTACAGTTTCAACAAATAATACACTGCATATATTCTTCTTAGTGGTTAATTGCTGTTCAAGATACGGACTTGTGATCCTATTTACAAACACCATTAGAACAAATCATTCTATTTATTAAGAGAATGCAACTATATATCTATCCCAACCACTTTGAATACACAGATACAAAATGGACATTCATCGGTATACCCCATTT